TCGTTACAATGTGAATACTTAAACAAAACTCTATTCGAAACAAGTGGTAGTAGGTACCTAGTAATCACAATTATGTATTTTATAAAAAATATTCTGTAACTACATCTACATGAGCCTATGAAGTGATGCTCTGATACTTATCTTCGCAGTTGCATTTCTTCGGGTAAAATTACTTTATTCCTTAGTGGTAGTTCACGTGCGCATTATAATAAATAGAGTACATTATTTTTTTCATTTTGTATTTTGGAAAGAGAACTTTTACAAGTCAACGTTGGATAAAAAAATCTAACGAGGACGCTACATAAAGTATAAATAGGTGGTTTCTGGCTACTATATGTTAACTTCCTGTAACTCAAAATCTTAAATCACAAACTCGAAGAAATGTGAAAAGGAAGCTATTCATATAAGTTCAACCTTTTTTCAGTACATCTATAAAATTATCGTGGACAACAATCTTGTTTTAACCCCAAAATGGTTGAGTTTCATCCATAATCCATATGCTGTTTCGGAAACCGATTATCGTTCCAATATCCTGTTTATACAGTCATTCGAATTTTCGAATTATGCTCGAATTCGCGCCAAAGCCTACCCTACTTCCGGCGGCGCCTGCGCACGTGTCCCGCGCACCAAACAATACACATTTTTTGCGATACGACATTCAAATGATAGTACTACCGTGTCTACCAACTAATGAATCCTATTTACATCTCTTTCTTTTGTATGGTACTTTTTTTGAGTGAGAGTAGGAGAGAAGATATGACAGTTGGCTGCGTATGGCGTCTGCCGTAGCCATATGTTGCTTGAGGTTTCGAAAATTACCCTCAAGTTCATTTTGAAAATGGCGATATTTACATCAGTCCGTTTTGTCTATTCATTACGGTTTGTATGACACGCGAGCCTTAATCGGGATGACAGGCCTTGTCCGGAAAGGTTTTGGAGTAAGAACCCTTGCAATAATGAATGAAATGACATTGGGACATTGATATTTTTTTTTACCGGAACAGATTTTCAATTATAATCTTATCATTGTTCGCCAAAGTTGGTGTTCTTGCTTCATGACTTCGGGTAATGATTCTTCTGCAAATACTTACACAATTTTCATAACTAACAATATCGGAACCAAATGGAATGTAATTGGCAAGTTACAATTTGCTCTATTCAAAAATCTAAGTTAGAAACATCTTAAACTGTATATAGAAAATATGTAAAACGCCGTGCATAATGCAGATGAGCTCTATCAGTTTCAAGTCACATCGGGACTTATATTCATGAGTAGTTAAGTTTTCCCAAAAGTTTACGTAACTCAGCCAGGTAGATTCACTAACGAACAGATTGACGTACTGTTATTATATTTAGATATTTCGAAAATATCTGTCGTGGTTTAGTTTGTATAAATATTTTTGGCGTTGATTTTCTACTTTCCAATAAAAATAATTTGTGTACGATTGATTACCCAAACACAAGCTCATTTCAACCGTTACATCACATAATCAGCCTTTGAGTGCCCACTGCTGAGCAAAGGCCTCTTCTCACATGGAGAAGGTTTGAGCATTAATCACCACACTTGCTCTTGCATTACAACTACCAAAAGTATAAATGGAATTTCTGAAACCCTTTTTTCTAATATTTCTACAATTCGATGCGTAACCAATCAAAAATAATGATGCACCACAATTATATCAACCCTTGAATGGTTCCGATCGAATTGAAAATTATTGGCTCAATACACAGTTATCGGTCAAAATTTTAGAAAAAAACTATGTCACAGCTTTTGTTTTCTGGCTTCCCTTTCATTTGCTGTAGGAAGAAATTAAATTGAATTTTTGTTTGTTTTTGTGGTTTTCTTTAATTTTACCTCTACACAATTTAGTTTTAACCGTTAAGACAGCTTTCATACCTAACAATATTTTTTTATGTCATAGTTCGGCAGCCGAGCAGACGTATTACCAACGGGTGTGTTGCTGAGTTGCTAAGGATCTACGGATACTGGATTTGAGGATATAGGATGGGGGGAGGGGGGAAATAGGCCTCCAGTAACCTCACACACACGGTGAAATATAACGTCACATCCGTTTCTATGAGGCCGTGGTATAAGTCTGTTCGAGCCGGCCAATACTTGTTGAAACATGGCTGTAACACACTTAAACCAATTTAATAGTAATGTGATATTTTTGTTTTTTAGAAATAGGTATGTACAGAGATTCCGAGATAGTATGCTTTTTAACCAGATTTTTATAATAACTATCGTGAGACATACTAAATTAACTAAAAATCGCGGGTTACTCCCGTGTAAATATTGAGAAAAGCTCTACTAGTTTCGCGACGTCGCCACGTCCGCGCACGCTGCTCATAAGGAAGAACCCCTCTGTGGTTCGAAACTAGTAGAGCTTTTCTCAATATTTACACGTGAGTAACCCGCGATTATAGTAAATTTTTTAACCAGATGTTAATCTACCTACAGCTTAAATTCTCGTTACTAGAGTTTTACAAGGTTGTTACCATTATTATATTTAAACTTTTATGTTTTATCCGGGTTTGTACAGATGAACCATATTACTGCTAGACCCATATAAAACAAACATCAACTATTCATACCAAATATAATGACAGCTATAGCTATGATTATGAAATCAAAAGAAACCCTTCACTTTATTTAATGTCCACATAGTAAAAAGGGGTCAATTTAAGCCATTTTAAATACATAAAGTTTAAGAGAAAGTCAAAAAAAGGCTATAATTTTGTTTAGTTTAAACAAAGTACTTTAATTCTAGGAAAAAAGTATCATCAAGGTGAAATAAAAAAGGTGATCGACAGTTTCAAAGGTACCGATGTGGCTAAATAGTTGATCGTTAAATCGAAGCGCGAACTAAGTATAGTTGACCAAATGGACGCTTAACCCTTCGCCGCCCCTCGCCCAAGTCTCAAACGTCAAAATAGAAGAGGTTCACGTTATGAGGTTTTGGTCTTTTATAAATACAAGCTTTATGTAGGCCTATTGAGTTTTTTTACCTACTAGTTGTACTAGTAATACTAGGTATTTGGTAAAAGAAACAGATAGTACCAGTACTACTATAGAATTTTCTTTAGAAAAATGTATCTGATGAGAAAAACATATTTATACATTACGTAATTATCCTCTGTTTTTCGTTTCATAAAAAATAAGTACTTACAGAAATACTGGTACAAATTTTAGATTTTTATTCATACACTGTACTAATTTTTTTTAATACCTAACAAGTCTTTACCTATATGTCAAAATTGTCAAAGAAAGTGAATATTCATATCATAAAATCGTAACGTAAACGCAAACCAGTAAGTTGACCGTTAAATCGTTCCTAAAAATTTGATGAAGTCATTTAGAAGCAAAAATCCCATGTTTGTTTAGCATTAAATATTATAATGGGGACTAAACGACCCGCCGATGGTAAATAAAGGGTTGATTCCGAATTTATTAAGTCAACATTTGGGTGTTTTTTTTTTTTGTAAATATTCAGCCATAACAGTTTTGATGTGTAAATAAATAATGAAGAGATTTTGAAAGTAAAAAAAAAATTGATTAGTTTTTTGGTACCTAAACAGTTTTTGGGTTGAATTCTTTAAATTAGACCTGTCTACTAGCTATGTTTATTTAACAGTTATCTGATTCATGTTAGACTTCAAGTTAATTCTTAACATAATATGGGATAAGTAAGACTGTCAAGAGGTGGCTACTTAACAGTTTAGACTTAAACTGTCAAGACTAAAAGTTTGTTATAACCATGTATAACACTCCAACAAAAGATTAAAACAAAAGATGCCTTTACACTCGGAACTTTAATTCTTTTATCATGTCTCGAATTACCACAATAGAAAGCTTAATGTTGCTTTTTTAAAATCTAACTTAGGCTATCCTCATTTTGTCGAGGTGTGACAATCCCCATTTGGATGGGTAGGGCGAGAATATAACACTCCCGACACTCTCTTCCTGACTAAAAATTCGCGCCGTTCCTTCTTTTGCTTCGAGCCGGGCCTCGATAGATGCGAAATATTGCGAATAATATAACCAAATCTCAGAAAAAAAACAGCAAGGTACCTATTTTAAAAAGTTCCGATTATTATCACGCCACCGCTCATCGGACGTGATGTCAGAGTAAAAATCAAAAGTGAATTATAAAAAAAAAGAAATTCATCAATTTTCTTTGGCACGGTAGCGCGACATCCCGCGGTGTGGCCAGTGTTGGCTACCGCGGGGTTGCAATGCGAGAAAAAAACGATTGATTTGCAAAAAAAAATGGCGGCTCGTTTCACTTTCTGAGCTTTGATTTTGCACGCCCACTCAGTGGACGTGCCATTATTTTGATAGTGTTGGCGGATTTTTTTGTGATTTAGATGCCTGTCATAAAAATGGATATGGATACATACGTGTTTTTAAATAAGAAGAACACAAGTAATCTCCATAGTAACAGAAATGTGTCTGCCTAAAAGGTACAGGCCAAACTTCTGTAACATTAGATTTTTTTATTTGTTTATTTATTTATTGTTTTCACAAAATACACAGCTCTCAATATTTTATTAACATAGGAACTTAAATTCAACCTTACAGCCCATTACGGATTTACAATTTTATAAATTTACATGCCTATAATTGCTACAGAACAGATTTCTTTATATGCTAGTATTAGTATAGCGTTGCTAGTTTTATAGTTGTAGGTATATATGTAAAGGATTGTAATGAGAAGTATCGAATGAATGAATGTGGGTGTGTGTGTGTTACATAAACCATTTTATAAGTAATATCCCAGTTTTTATAATAAAACTCATGATTCTAACACTATTTCACAATCAAATTAAGTTATTAAACTTTTTACAAGCCCTACACAAATGATAACACTTTTCTCACATTGTTGACTTTAACCCCATCTCAATCTCAATTTAGGCGGCTTTTGCTTAGCAAACAGAATGGGTTATCATCATCAAAATTTAAAGTCATCAGGGTAATTTGCATCATACAGTCTCCCACGATGCAGCAGGAAATCTTGATTAAGTCATTATCGTCAATGCCGTTGATGTGTGACAATCAGGTAGGTATTGTTAAAAAATCATCTTGTTTGTGTGTCTGCCATTTGCAGAATATCCTTTCGCTGATGTCAATTTTATTGGTGGAGACACGTTTGTTTGTTTGTTTATTGTGTTTACTGTAATGTGTATATTGGCTTGGATTGTCTAATAATAATTATATTGTCATAAGTAGGACAATGATAGCTTTCGTCTTAACCTAAATGGTCCCCAATGAGACTTCTGAGAAGTATTTAGTGGGCCCGTCTGATCTTTAAAATACGTGCTATTTGGAACCTTAAGTGATCATGAGGAAAACCTTGATTCCAAAGTACCATAAGTTCATTATCCTTTAATAGATACTCTTTGATACAAAAAGTAATTTTTAGACACACCATATTTTTCGTGTAATTTGTCCCAAAAATGTTTTAAAAATATACATGTTCAATGGCGTAGCGTAGATACATTAATACCGATACCACCTACAACGCAAATGACCCTGTAGGTGGCTTTGGTGGCAACTAAATTGAGGCAAATCTTCACATCACATAAAAATAAGTCAATTAACAAAAAAGTTTCAATCAATTGATTGAAAAAAAAACCTTTTTTACATTGGCAACCACGCATAATGACACGACGGGTCGCCCGCGTTCTTTTTGAATTTCGAACAATGGCCACCAACGGTTCGCGCCCTAAGAATGACACTTGAAGAAAAATAGACAAATTAGAAAAAAATATACCTTTGTACTTATGCAACGTCTGTTGTGGGCTACCGAATTTACAGGTTAATTATTGCGAACGAAATTTTAATTAAATTTATGGATTTTGTTTATATCTACTAGCTTTAAAAATTAATGATAATAATTAATTGACGTGCGTGCCTTAATGACAAATTGTTTGAATGAAATCATTAATACTATATTTTCACTTATAGTTTGGCCTTGTTTTGACAAAGATTTTGACAGTAAGGAGGTTTTAATAAAAAATATTTTACAGAAATTAAGTAAAAATCTATCAAAGTCAAAAATGAGTGGCATGTAGCAATAGAAATGTAAAAGTACCCAAAATTGTTTCAAATAAATAATACAAAGCAAGAAATAAACTGGATGTAAAACAGAATCGAATAAAACTAACCGTGTCGCATAGGACACGTGTTATTAGAAAACAGAAAAAATTCTGTCAGTAAGTATTCATTGCATTCTTCTTTCATACTTAGCTAAAATTCTTTTTTTTTCAATCTTTATATTTAAAAGAGCTTATTTGCAATTACAAATATGACGCTCCGTACACAAAGCAAAAATAAATTAAGATATTTAAAAAAGAAGAATTAAGGCAAAAGCTAAAATTCTTTGAATCTGTGTTTCCAGAAGAGTAAAACAAAAGTTTCTTCAAAATACTTGTGAATTTGGAATTTTAATGTGCACTTACGAAATCATTCAATTAAGAATTTTGCTTAATACTTCTGTATTGGCATATTATTTTACTTCTAACATTATTTCCTTCAGATTAATACGATAAAATTAATTTTATTATGACGGTTATAGGTCATGTGTACTTTGTAAGTTCATTTAGATAGATAACTTTGAAGTGGACAATTCTTTTTGAGCAAGCTAGAATGAAGAAGCCTTTTGTTCAGCAGTTGGCACTTATAGGCTAGAAGACATGAAGAAATTAAAAACCAGAGTTAAAAAATAATCAAATAAATATGTTTTGCAGTAGATGGCGTCAGATGTGGTGAGGGGCTACGATGAGCGCCTGCTGGGCAATCAACATAGTCCGACCGTGTACGGGGGCGAGGTTCCACCTTCCGAAGTAAGACCTCTTACCACGGAGACCTTTATCAAGTCACCGGAACAAAATAACGTAAGACAAGGGGCCTAGTATGTTCTGGTAGGGGTTGCGGGGCAAGCGCATTAAGGTACTGCGGCAACGGCCTAAAGCAGCAGAAAAAACGGGGGGTTTTCAGTCAGTAAGAGTCTGACACTCTCTCTCGCCTTATTCTGGGCGGGAGTAGACATTTGATGATTTTACCCTAACAAAACAAATAAGCAGAGGCTAAACACCTGACAATCATTGATATAAATGATTTCGCCTCTACGCGGAGAAGGCTGCCTATGAAACATTATTAAAACAAAAAAAGCTGGTCAGAAATAACTAAACAATAAGTCACTAATCGGTTGAAATCAATTACTTTTTCATTGCCACTACATACTACTAAATAGTATGAAAAACAAAGTCGCTTTCTCTGTCCCTAGTCCCTATACCTATTTGTATGCCCAAAAGTAGTTAGTAAGAGTAATTGAAGAGGAAACTTTAATATAATAACATCCATTAAATAGTGGATAAATTTAGTATCAGCATTAAACCGTGTGAAGCAAGGGCCAATGGCCATTTTTTTTAAATATAACAGAAGCAAATCGGATAGTTGCGATCAGCATTGCTAATGAACACTCCAAACTACACGTTACAAGTGCTTTTCCATCCTTTGGGAGAGGGGGATTAGGCCTTGATTATTTATTTTATTACCCGACTGCCAAAGAAGGAGGGTAATGTTTTTCGAGTGTATGTAAGTATGTATGTATGTCTGTTCCTTTGTGACCTCCTGTAGCCTAAACGGCTTGATGGATTTTGATGTATGAGGTATCGTTAGATTTGTCTTGATTACGGGAGTGTCATAGGATACATTTTATCCTAAAAGTCCCACGGGATAAAGACATAATAATATTTTTTCTAAATTTCCCTTTAAAAAAATATGTATGCGGTATCATTAGATTCATTTCAATCACGGGAGTAATTAATATAGGATACGTTTTTTCTCAAAATTCCCACGGGAACATGTTAATTCTGCGTCAACGCAAAGCAACTCATGCGTTAGCAACATCGATCACTAATAAAGAACTAGATACACAATCCCATACAAAAGTTCGCTTCAAAACTGTCGCCAACTGTATTTAGGTACTTATACTTGAAATAAAAATGCATTAATGTAAATTAAACCTTAAATGCAACTCATAGAGTTGTTTTTACAAAGTGATGTACAAAATCTTAATACTTTTTGCGACCGAAGCTCTTGACAAACACAAATCATAAGAAATTGAACCATATTCGCATGTTTTTAAGTCGAATTTACAAAGTGTCAAAAATAAGCAATAAAATTTAACGACTTCGGCTCACCGCTAGGACAAAGAATGATTGGAGTCGAAATGTCTCGTAAGAAATATATTTCTTTATAATATTTCTTTAGAAAATACGCAAATTAAAACGCATTACTTATAGTATTCTTTTCTATAGGTTTGTTCATTTATTTACCAATGAAACTAATGCATATAGTTATAATTCTTTTTTTTTATTTTCGTCCTCCTTAATCCTTTCTATTCGAAGTCAAATAAAAAAGATGTAAAATAATAAAAAGAATATATATCTAAAGTAAGTACTGAAAATGTTGGCGTTATTGTTGTAAATTTTTCATATCGCACGGGATTTTGATGAAAGCTAAAAAAAATGTCTTTACTGCAGTTAAAATTAAATCCATTATATCTGCCTATTCCATATTTTAATAAACACAGTAAAGAATTATAATATTAAATAAAAACTATTTTTTTATAAAAAAAAACAATATATAAAATTAGGAACAATAGCGTCTCCGCTAAACGGAACAGAATCAATCCACGTAAACCGAACAACTTAAGTGGTCATGCTAGAGAATGATTTTACGTTTAGTATAAGTGTCTTTATAAACTGTGTGCATTATAACCCCGGTTTTTGAATACGATTTCATTTGGAAAAAGTTTAAAGTTAATTTCTTAATAAAATATCAATATTTAAAATAGAATGATGACAATTATATAATGATAATATTATGACTAAACGAAAATATGAAATTCCATCCTTTTTTGCATCTTAGATGTGTGTGTTTTTGCAGTTTTTTAACGAGCACTGAGGCGTGTTTACCGTCGGAGCATTCGAGTGGTACTAAACTAAAACTACACCGCGATGTTGAGTTTGGTGGACTTTCAGTTGGGACATTTTTTTGCCACTGATTGTGTATCTAGTTCTTTATTAGTGATCGATGGTTAGCAAGCAAAAAGATAGGGCGTGGCCTGGCATGCGGCGCGCGGCGCGGTGCGGAGGGGGATATGCTCGAGTATACAGCCCGAATGCGGGCACACGCATAAGGGCACACGTCGTTGACGGTCGTCTCTAAATAGCGATTTTTTTCGATACTTCGTCGTCTGACGCGAAACTTATAAAGTATAAATAACTCGTTCTTTTTCTTTCGTGTTTCTCTCTTTAAATTCATTCGTTCTTTCTTATTAATTAACTCGTCCTTCCGTTCTTTTTTTTGGTTCTTTCTTAAATTCTTCATATTAATTAATAATATAATAATAATTATTAATAAAAAAATAAAAACAGCTAAAAAGTTATAAATAAAAAAAATATTATTAAAAAAACAAAATACCCGACTGCACACTAAAAAAAGAGTAAAACAAGCCCCACAATACAAATTTACTGAATATAATTTATAAATGTTGATGGAAAGCATCGCAGGCGGGGACCACCTTGACCGCCACCAACGAAAATTCTGCTAAATGGTGCACAACAGAAATGACTATAAATAAGCCTCTGTTGGTCCCCGCCTGCGATGCTTTCCATCAACATTTATAAATTATATTCAGTAAATTTGTATTGTGGGGCTTGTTTTACTCTTTTTTTAGTGTGCAGTCGGGTATTTTGTTTTTTTAATAATATTTTTTTTATTATTTAGTAATTTTTCGATTGCTATGTTGTTATCCCTTGCTTACTTAGGATACTAACTGACTACTTCCTAACAATATAACTAGTAGTTTTTTATAAACTTTAACAGCATAATGGTTCCCGATTTCAGAGATCAAACGTGGAGCCAGTCTCATCATCCTCCTACACCTTGGCCAGCGACAGCAGCCAGTACAGCCGTGATGTGGACCTCTGGCTGAGGGGATCCAATACTGAGAGTACTGGTGTGCAGAACAGCAGGTATACTAGGTCATCTCTTCATTTTTGTATATGATAGCAGATGAGCAAGTGAATTACCTGATGGTAAGCAATTAGCACCACCAAACGCCGCAATGGTAAAGTTACGAGTGCGTTGCTAACCTTTTGGACATTAGGAATTTGGTGATTTTTGGGTTGGGAAGGGATTAGAGGAGAGGAAGGTTGATAACCTCAATTACGCGGCGAAATACAACGCTGTGGTTGTTTCACGCCGGTTTTCTGTGAGGCCGTGGTATCACTCCGGTCAAGCCGAACCATTCGTGCCACAACTCTCCCACACTTAACTTATTTTGTACTTATTACCCAGTAGGAGGCGGCCAAGACAGAAATTTTAAAACCAAAAAAGTTTTGGAATTGATAGTTAGTCCCCATTGTTTTTTTATCACATGAACTCTTATTTGACTTTGATACCAGGGTGGCGACGGCCCAGCGTTCCACCATAGCCCCATCACCATCTCTGGATGGCATGTGGTACATCATTGCAATGATACTGCCCATGTTCAGCGCCAATAACACCCATTGGAGGTGTACGCCAAGGTAAATTGTACTGTATATTTCATTAGTATAAGGTGCAGTTTGTTTTGTAGTATCTTTTGTTATACATAAGGCGACTTGAAGTATAGAACAATTGACGTGAGAGTTCCAAAGTAATATTTTTATTTTCATTTGTATGAAATATTTCATTTTTTTATTAAAATTTGAATTATCAAAATAATTTGAACACTTGCTTTTAACGCCATCTGTTTTCATTGAGTTCAAACTTTTTACAATAACACGTGCATCGTAAATGGAATCGAAGGTTACTACACTCCCAAGCCCTTTCATTTCATAGTTCCAAGTATAACAGAGAGATGGCGCTAAGGGTCGGGTTGATACAGTAATTAAATTTTTTTTTGGGGTTTCAAAATTAAACAATTATACATATTTGTCAGATCGGGATACTGTTTTTATTGTAAGTAATTTAGGATTTCTATTCGATTAGATGGCAAAATGAGGAAATAGAGACACCGTAAGCGTTGCATATTGGAGTGAATCAGACCGGTTTGCTAGCATTTAGTGAATGTGCATATGGGATTGTATTATACCTCCAAATAGGATCTAATAATTTCAAGATCAAGCCCCGACATTCTAATAAAATATTTTCTTTTCCAGCACCGTACTTAACGCAGCAGAATTCTTCCTAAATCAATTTTCGCGGTTCTGTGCTCATGCCCGCACTCAAATACGTCGTCTGGCTGGAGACCAGATAGCCCGCGACCTCTTCGCCACAGCAATGGACATCGTGCTGGTAGTCTACGCCATTGGATTCCTCGCCCTATCCCTGTACCAAGCTTCCATCATCGGTTGAAAGGCTACCGATGAAAACCAAAGAACATAAGTCCAATTTTAAAACAGTGAAGTCGACAAATGAATGTGTCCCGTAATTTATTTCAGTTATTACCGTTTATAAACTTTTGGGTAACATTTTGTGTTTTTTTTTTTTTAATGACTCGTCCTGCCTTTATTTTTAAGTGTGTCAGAATTTCTTACTATTTCAGCCGGGGTTGCAGGGTAAGCGCAATGAGGCACCACAACCTCGGCTTAGAGCAGCAGAAGGAACTGGAGGATTTTAGTCGGTAAAAACTGTCCATACCGCCCGATACTGGAGAAGTCAAATTTTCCCCTCAAGAAAAAAAAGGTTTTTACTAACTTACTAATTAAAATACTACTTCTGCTTAGAACCGGGCCGAGGTAATGTAATATTTTTACGTTACTAATAGACTACCACAGTTAGGGCCCAATTGCGCCGATGCTCAGCCAGAGTTGCAGATGCAAGCGCTATAATGTAGGTACCGCTGATCCTGATGATGAGATGGAACGGACTAGTTTTTAGTCAGTAAAAGTCTTACAGTGTGTGAGTCCTCTGCCCCCACCGAAGGCGGGAGAAGAAGCGGATATTCACTGTTTCCTGCACCTACCGTTACTCATGCAGGAGGATGAATAGGAATAGGCAAAATAACAAAAAGTATGAATATGTAGATTAACAATTTTAAGAATTATCATTAATATGTCTGTTACTATCATATTGTTTTTTTCAACATCTTGTGATAGTCAATTCTAGTTGAAAGTTAGAATCTACTGATAGTGAATGCCTTTAAAATGATCGCTTCCATATTTTGCTTACCAAAAGGCAGAATTCAGTATCTATTTAGAAAGCTGTTGTTCTTCCGAATCAGATTTTGGTTACTAATGGATATTCGAAATAGAAATTTGGAAATTATCTGATACTAGCGGCCCGCCCCGGCTTCGCACGGGTCTTATCTCGCTATCAAAGGGGCACATTTTCCTACTCTTTCCCTCTACTTTTCTAATATTTTCTTTGATAAGAACCTTCTCCTGACAATAAAAAAGTCCAGGCGTTGTTGAGTTATGCGCTTACCAACACATTTTGCAATCCATTTTTATATATAAGATACGTATGTTTTATCTGACTTATGTAGAATCTTGCAGTACGTTATCTCACGAAATAAATGAATTTACCACAACAAACTAGTTATCCACATTTATATCTTTATTTCCAAGCACATGTATATTGTAGCACTTGAAATTCAAATAGCATACTTATGTAGGTATTTTCCTTTGGAAAATTTTAGTATTAAATGTGCTGATGACTCAGAGTCCATACAAATAATTACTTGAAAACTAGTATTTTGCTGGGAACTTTTCCGTCTTTAAATTTTCTACAAACTATCCCATAAGAAAATATCGCATTGGAAAGAGAGAGTCCCGGACAATAGATGGCGCTTACTAAAAACTATGCTATGTCCTTTCTCGAGTTCAAACCTATGTCTGTACCAAATTTCACAGAAATCGGTTCAGTAGTTAAGGCGTGAAGAAAAGACAGACAGACAGACAGAGTTACTTTTGAATTTATAATATTAGTTTGGATAACTATACTGTCAGTACACAGATCGTCCATCTATATATTTTATATATGTATTAATTTATGATAAAGTTAACATTATTACTAATGTGCATGATTATTACGTGTTTAAAAGTATAATTATCAAGCATCACGATTTAATTTTTCCAATTAGTATTGCAAATCCTTTAAGGTATATAGAAGAAGGCAATTATTCTGTTTTTATAGAAAAATCCATATGGATACAGAGATAATTTTATGTTAAGATATTCCACGAAGAAACTAACTTCGGTGTGGTAATTTCTGTAATATTATTTTACATTTTATTCCTATGCAAGTGTAAGGAGAAAATGGGTACCCTAATATTATTTGACTAGCTAACCTAGCGTCCGCTGCTCGTCTCCTACAGATCGTAGCGTGATATTAAATAGCCTATAGCCTACCTCCATAAATGGACTAACAAATACAAATATAATTGTTCAATTCGAACCAGCCGTTTTTACATATCCGAGTATGTTATTGTGAGCTTAGTTCGTAAGATTAAGGTTCGTTGCCGTTCACGGGATGCAGGATCCTGGACCTTTGGAAGGCGTACGGGGCCGAAGCCAACTCGCAGAGGCCCGTTGAACATCTTTAATATAAGTGAAATGGGACATCAGCCGGCAATTGTCTCTGTAGGTATGCACTATGAAAGTGCACCCAAGGACAATCCCCGGTTGATGGAGGACTATTGCGAAATGTGGTAATAATTGAAAGGGTTATAGGTATGGGTTGCTACGGACTGGTGGATATGATAACTATGGAAATATTAGATTAAGGTTTATTATTAACAAATTTTGATCCGACAGATAAACTATGTGTAGGTATAGTTTTGTCAATCAGTTTTTACGTCGTAAAACTACCCATGTACCTATTTGATCAATAAATGAATAATAATAAAGGCAAACGAGCAGACAGATCACTCGATGTTAAGTGATCAGCGCCGCCAACACCCGCAACACCAAAGGAGTCAAAGGCGCGTTGCCGACCTTTTAAAAAAGGTGAAGAAAGGTGCGTTGCGTACTCCGCACGTTTCTTGAAGGTTTGAAGGTCGTATAAGTACGGAAACCACACCTCTGAAAGTTTCGCGAAATTCGCACAGTTGTTGACTGCGAACCATCTATATGATGGGGATGATAGTGTTATCGTGGGTCGATGGAGAAAGGATGCGGCGGGAATCAAACCGAATAATTCCTAGGAGCACTCCTCGTAGTACAGGCTATATAGGACACCTAGCAAAGCTACATAGATTACAATGAAACTCTATGAATATATATTATTGTTTAACATCATAATTATTAGTTTAATATTACTCACTCACTGCTATTATTATTATCATCTCTTAGTAAAATGTTTACTCGTAATCGTAACAGCGAACAGTTTAGTGGACGTACGCCGGCAAATTTTACAACTACATAATGTAAATGGATCCATAGATAAGAATTTCGTAATTAAATTAATTACACGAACACTATCCACTTCATGGTGTTTTATATGGATCTTAGAGGGACAGCGCGTACGCAGTCCCTCACTACCAAAAATTACGCGTCCGAGTTATCCACATTAGGGATAATCGCAGGGGTCAACCTAATCGCAGTGCAATGAGAAGGCCTCGCCCTGGGGGAACCGCCTACTTGATCACGGTTTCCCCTACGCCAGGTAAGTATGAATTTCATTGAGCGCGTCGCGAGGGTCGTTCAACGCCGGAGAATCTTAACACCGCGATTCAGAAAATGTATGGAGCTGTACAACGCCATCTAGTTAGGAATTCGGAACGAAATAAGGGTAGCAAAATTGTGGGGTGGGTTGTAAATAGGGTTCACTTACAATGCTTGAAAAGCAACTATGAACGTTAGTAACATTGAGATACGATTAAAATTAACTGTGCCCACAAAAAATATGAAAAGTGTGAATAGGCGCCAGGTTCAGTCTATTTTATACTTACTTGTAATAAAAATATAATTAAGCAACAAGAAGTTCCTATTTCAATATTTTATTTTAAAACCACCTAAAAAAAGTTTTCAGCTTTTAGCTTGGACTTGGCAGAAATGGTAATTGTAGCGAAAACACAAATATCATTCAATCATTTTTTTCAGTTGACTAAAAAATATTTAGTCAACTGAAAAAAATGATTCACAATATTAACCTGAAAAAAAAATGACGAATGAAGTCAATTTTCTGAAAAAAATAATGATTACCTACATACAAAATAATGACTAACTAGGTAATTAGGTCACATATTTCAGTAATGATGATGATGCGTTTATGTTGACGACAAGAATTCCAATAGATGTGCAAGATAGTTTCAGCATTAGTAAGTTACACGTAATTATGTAAACATTGTCACAGAACTGGCCTGAAGGTTTCAGGTAGGGCTGGCAGGAGGGTACTTAGAACTATCGCTCCAAAAATCAGTAACTTAATATAGATTAGGATTCTTTCTGTATCGGATTTTATATTAATTTTATATTAATATTCTTTGAAAAGGTAGGGGGGGGGGAGTCAGAGAAGATGGAACAGAGTGTTTTTTTGATCCTCCGTTCCTTTTTCTGTTTCTAGCAGGTGGTATACTGTTGCGCTTGACCATGCAATCCTATCCGATCAGTTAAACTCTTGCCAATTGGATTTCGAAAAATAATCTTTTTTATACTTTGGTAATGTATTACCAAAATACTAGTGTTTACAACTCTTGTATTCATCATCATCATCATCATCAGCCTATAAGTGCCCACTGCTGAACAAAGTCGTCTTCTCACACGGAAAAGGTTTGAGCATTAATCAGCGCGTTTGCTCAAGACGGATTAGTCATTAAAATTATTATTAGAAATTATCAACACCTAGTTTTCCTACTATGTAAACCTTTACTGTACTTGGAGAAGGTTTGAGCATTAATCACCACGCTTGCTCAAGAGGGATTGGCGATTTCAAACTTTAAGTTAGAATATAAGTCCAAGTTTCCTCACCTTTACCGTTTGTCAGTGGTGTCTAAATAAATTTAAAGAGTACATAAATATAACTCACAAAAAGTCCAGGTTCCAATCCTTATGCATGAGAAACGGACGCCGTAATCTCTAGACTACCACGGCAATAACTAACTCTTATGTTACAAAAATATTAAAAAAAATATTTTTGCAAATAGGCCATAAAACGGCACTTTTACACGTCAATTTATATGTGAAAAACTAGATGAAGCCGGCATTTCCTATCTGACTACTATGGGAAGAAATGCCGAAACAAACTCAGAGGTCAGTCTCTCTTCAAGTCCAGAGAATGTAAAATAACACAATGTGAGAGAACCGTGCAAGTTCATTCTGTAGTGGTCTTTTGAGGAAAGAACCACACCAATTTAAGTGGACCCGTTCTGAAGACAGGCACGCAAGTGTCAGTTTGCAACCAGTATAGCTAGT